CCATCTGTCAGGGGTGCTTTGAATACTTTTTGGCAGGGGGTTGGACTGGATGGCCCGTGAGGTCTCTTCCTGCTTCTTGGCAGAATGGGGTTGGACTGGATGGCCCATGAGGTCTCTTCCAACTGTATGATTCTATGACTCATATTAAGATCCCCTTTCCATATAAATATGTGTTTGACAGATGTGTTCTGTACGTTTCCGATCTGATAAATTTCAGTTTTCTTATGGAGCTTTGGACATTTTCTCAGTTGGCACTTGACCCAAGACTTTGCTTGCACAGAAATTGCTTTCAGGGCACCTGTAGCAAAATTAGTATTATGCCTTTCCTGTGAGGTGACTTGCAAAAACAGGGCTTGCAGGAAGCCAAAGCTGACTTCTGTTGCTACCATGCGCAAGGGTAGATCAAGATCCTGTTAATACAGAAAACACAATTTTTTCCTCATGTCCAAGAAATAATTAATCTTGCGCTTTAATGTGTCATGTTTGGAGAGAGAATTTCAAGTGTGTTTGTGTTTTATGAGTTTTGGATTGCAATCAAATTATTGTCCCCAAAGATGATTTCTGTTGCTACCATGCGCAAGAGTAGATCAAGATCCTGTTATACAGAAAACACCATTTATATCATGTCCTGAAGGAGCCCCCGGTGGCGCAGTGGGTTCAACCCCTGTGCAGGCAGGACTGAAGACCGATAGGTTGCAGGTTCGAATCCTGGCAGAGTGCAGATGAGCTCCTTCTATCAGCTCCAGCTCTCCATGCGGGGACATGAGAGAAGCCTCCCACAAGGGTGGTAAAACACCAAAACATCCAGGCATCCCCTGGGCAACGTCCTTGCAGACGGCCAATTCTCTCACACCAGAAGTGACTTGCAGTTTCTCAAGTCGCCCCTGACGCGATCAAAAAAATAATTAATCTTGCACTTTGATGTGTCATGTTTGGAGTAAGATTTTCAAGTGTTTGTATTAGTTTTGGAATGCAATCTAATTATTGTCTCCCCTCTTCACTCAAATTTATCCCTCTTCCATTCTCCAGCAGTTTGGGAACAGAATTCGGATTTGTCCAAATAGGATTAATTGCCCTTGAAATCAGTCTAAAATAGCAGCAGACACCTTTCTTCCTTGGTATCTCTGATGTATTGAGAATGGGCCCATGTATTTCAGTCTTCAGGGAGTTACGAAGATTCAAGAAGGATACCATCATTCCCTTTCCCAGCCTGCTTTGGGTTTTTTACTTTATTACTGAAAAAAATGTGTATTTGAAATCTTTCCCAGTCAAAGATAGATGTTAATATCAGGGTGACATTCACTACCATGCCAACACAAAAAATACGGATTGCAATGAAACCAGAAGTTACTGTCTTAGGACCAAAATCGTATCATTCTTCTGTATGATTGGTAGTACTGTTTTTTAAATCTTTCTTCTCACCTAAATGTCCTTGAGAAGTCCAAATTGTTACCCAAAATTACATATAGCCATTGGTGCAAAGACGTGGGTTACAAAGTGTGCCAGGATGGCATGCATTGAAAACCCTTAAGATATAAGCTGTATGAGATGTTCCTGATTGAGTGAGGACATCTGTACCTGCTGCAGCATAATGCCAGTATCTTGACTCCTGTGTCCTTGTTGGAAGATGTCTCTGCACATTTTTGGTGAGCCTTTCTTCCCCCTGCAGTTTAACTCTTTGGCTCTCTCCAATAATTTCCTTGCCTGTCGACCAAGCTAATGCCATAAAAAGATAACATTGGATGGCCTTTTGGGCTGATTTCGAATGCAAAACCAGTATTCCAACTTTTTCCAGCATGTTCTAACATATTGATGCTTACACAGCATGGTGACTTCAGATGCTGCTCTGAGTGTTTTGCATAAATGGTCCGTGCGTGTTTGTTTGTTCTTCCTTTGGGGCTATAAATAAGATTTGGGGGAAGGGTGATGGTAGTGCACATATCGAACATTTAGCCTTCTGAAAACCAACAAACTGTATTAGATTTTCTAATTATTTAAAGCCCTTGTGATGTTAAAAGCAGAAGCAAAAAATCAATGCTGTTGCTTAATGCTGTTCTGTAACCTTAGAATTTGGTTGTGATTTCAGTGGATGTCCCGTGTGTGTCTGTGTACGTGTGTGTGAGGGAGAGGACGTGTATCAGAAGTACTCCCTGGTCTGAACAAAGGCTTCTTTTCGCCTTTGTGACAGCAAAGCAACCCCATATCATTTGCAGAATGTCCTTTTGTCACCATGAAAAAGCAGTAAAAAAAGTAACTGCAGGTCCACAAGTTCCTTTGTTAAGGAAGGTGGGGTTTATATATGAATTGTGATAGTGCTTTAAATATTGCATTTTACGTTGAGAGCAAAGCCTGCTAGGTTTGAAGACAAATAATAATTGTATTTCATTATTGCACCAAATACATTTTCAAACCATAGTATCCTTTGGAATTTTTGAGGGGAAACAATTCCTTCATTATTTAAAACAGGATTTTGGTCAGTAGATAATCTAAGTGCACAGCTTTAAGGGGGGAGATACACATCTATTTCCCTCATATATGGCCAAACATTAAGGTTTTCTTCATAGGATCCCTCTCTGGGTGCTTCTGACAATTGAAGAAAGTGAGGCTGATGGCTTTTGGGAAGAACACTTGCTCAGATGTCACTCCAGCTGTGGCATACTTTGCCCAGCCTGGCATCATCTTCAATAGCCTTTAAAAAAGATACCAAATGTTTAAGTTATCCTGTCATTGCTCTTACGTTGTTTACTTTCAGTTATGCCATGAATTTGGATTTAAGCGTCTCTTTATACTGTCATGTGTTAGATATTTTTAATGTCTTCTCTTTTTTAACTATCTGCAGAACTATGTCAGTATAATCAGCTTTCCATATCCATGGGTTTTGCATCTTCTGCTTCAACCATCTGCAGCTCAAAAATGTTCAGGGGGAAAAAATCCCAAAAACACACCTTGATTTTGCCATTTTTTATATAAGGAATGCCATTTTACTATACTTTTTTTAACATAATGAGACTCGAGCATCCATGGATTTTGGGAGTCTTGAGACCAAACCCCATCAGATATTGAGGGCTCACTGTAAATAAAATGCTTCTTGCGGTGACATTTAAAAACAAATAGTCTTAAAGCTGAGGTGTGTTCCCAATGCACTTGGGAGACATTGACTCTTGTTTCCTATATATGTGTAAAATGTGCCATTGCAAACTTTATCCCTTCTTCCTCTGTGAAATGAGTTAAAATTGTCAAAAGAGCACGTACTCAGAACTTTACACACTAACTTTACTGGAAGCAAACAGAAAGCTAACATTGGTTTTAGCCTCTCATGGGATTGCTTTGTTTCTTCAAAGTCTGCTTAGTTACATCTTGTACACTTAGATGAAACCCATCAGCTGCTGAATTATTTTACTATTGTTCTGTCAAAAATTGTAACACAGTGTTGTGCCATTCACAAGCAAACAAGAAATCACAAGATCGAAGGAGTTCATTCATATGATACCACTGATGTCTACTAAATTCTGCAATACGGTGAAATAAATACTCCCATTTGCTTTCCAGAATCAGTGAAAAACATGAACAGATTGACGCTAATGTCAGGAGTAAAAATTATTACAGATGCTTCAGTAAGGAAATTTTGTCAAAAGAAATTGTGGTTTGTTTATCTCCATTTGCAGGATATCTGGAAGGGAAAATCAAAGCCTCCAGGAATTATTTAGTGGAAGTATTTTCACTATATCTGATGCAAAGTGAGGTTCTTGGGCTCATTTTTCCCCCTAGACATGTACCTTATTGGAAAGAGTAATTTATGAAGATAGTCCTAGACTCAAGTCTTCCTTAGTTTAGTCTCTCTTCACAGAATGCTTATGAGGATCAAGTGTGTTGGCAGGAAGATATGCTGCATTAGGAACTCCTTGGCAAAAGGGCAGAGGAAAACATAAGAATGAGAAACCAGGAAAGTTTTCAGTTCTTGTTGTTGTTGTTTATTCGCTCAATCACTTCCGACTCTTCGTGACCTCATGGACCAGCCCACGCCAGAGCTCCCTGTCGGCCGTCACCACCCCCAGCTCCTCTAGAGTCAAGCCAGTCACTTCAGGAATAGCATCGGCGCCTCTTCCTTTCTCCTTCCATTTTCCCAAGCATCATTGTCTTCTCTAAGCTTTCCTGTCTTCTCATGATGTGGCCAAAATACTTCCTCTTTGCCTCTAATGTCCTTCCTTCCAATAAGCAAAGTTTCTGCAAAGATACACATGTTTTCAGTACAGGTTGTTATCTGACATGCTGCAATTGAATTTAACCACCTGTAATAAATACATTCTAGAGTGACATCTTCACCCTTGATATGTGTTATAATAATCTCAATTGAAAACTTGGGTAGTGGGCACCAACTGAGATAAGAGTCCAAACACAGGATCTTTGAGACATAAAAGGTCAAGGAAGTCCTGAAAACTACAGAAGTACTACAGAAAAAATATTGTGGTCAATTTGTGTTTGGTAGTGGTGAAATAATGGCTTCTGTTGTAAAAAGAAGTTGAAAACACTGGGGGAAATTGTATGTGGAGAGCGTGGCTTACAGGACACTGCAGAAAGGCATGTCTGGTTGGATCCTTAAACACTTCCCAAGCTTTCCCACTTGCTTAGTGACGACTCAGAAATTTTCCTTTATAGTTCAAAATCTTTCCAACTTGCAAAATGAACCAAGGGCCAGTAATTCTAATGGTCAGCTGCTCTTAGCCTGATGAACGGCAATCAGTGATTTCTTAGGGTAAGGACTATCCCTAGAAAAAGGAAAAGTGTCTCCAGATCCTGTCATTTCTCTTTAGACATTAGCATGCTTTCTACCAGATTGCTTCGAGTTTCATATAATGTCCATTTGCAAATCTTAATTTTTTATAGGTTTGAAATTTGCTAAATTCAGCTATCCCGATGCAAATGCTTGTGATGCTGCCATTCAATCAACTGTTTATCTTTTAAAAATACTTCAATATCTTCATTTTTTTGTATTTTGACAGCCTGAGGAAGAGCTTGATCCTGAAGAGAGGGACAATTTCCTCCAACAGCTTTACAAGTTTATGGAAGACAGAGGTAAACAATGCTTCACTTGGACTGAAACAGACAGGGGACTTTTTAGCTAGTGTGGGACTATGTTCAACAACTGTTAGGTTTGTCTTTGCATGGAGTGCTTGAGTGCTTTGTGCTATAAGGCCATATATTCCTGAGAGTATGTTCCATTAAACTCAGGGATGTTTCTTTCTGAAAACTTTCTGCAGAATTGGCACCATAAATGCTAAGCACCTGAAACATTTAGTAAGAGGTAAATAATAAGTGAAGTACTTAGTTATTTTGAGACCTGGTGTATAGTGGTTTAAGTGTTGGACAAGGACATTTGCAGACCAGGGTTCGGATCCCCATTTGTTCATAGATCTTGGGTAAGTTACTCTCTCTCAGCCACAGAGAAAGGCAAGTACAACCCGCAATGAATTCTGCCAAGAAAATAATAATACACTTGATTTATTTTCCACTCTATCCTCCTGAGGGGACTCAGAGCGGATTATAGTATACACATATATAGGCAAACATTCAATGCCTTTTATACAGTGAACAATGACACACAATACGCAAACAAAGGCAAAGATTTCCCTTTCCATCTCCAGCGTCTGAAGGTAATGCTCAACTCTGGTCATGGGCAGGTGCTCTTGTTCCATTTTCCATGCTGAGGAGCCTGTTGTCCATAGATTCTCCTGATTGTGTTTGGCATGGTTGCATGGGCTCCTTTTACCTTCCCGCCGAGACGGTACCTGTTGATCTACTCAAATTACATGTTTTCAAACTGCTAGGTTGACAGGAACTAGGGCTGACAGGAGCTCACTGCGACCAGTGGCTTCAAACTGTCTACCTTTTGGTCAGCAAGTTTTTTTTCTGCAGCTCGCCATTTAACCCGCTGTGCTACCATGGCCCCTTTGACTGTTAAGAATTGTGGGAGTTGAAGTCCAAAACACCTGGATGGCCGATGTTTGCCCATGCCTCCCTTAGGTCACCATAAGTCAGAAATTACAGCAACAGCACTCTTACATCTTAGAATCATAGAGTTGGAAGAGACCTCATGGGCCATCCAGTACAACCCCCTGCCAAGAAGCAGGAATATTGCATTCAAAGCACCCCCGACAGATAGCCATCCAGCCTCTGTTTAAAAACCTCCAAAGAAGGAGCCTCCACCACACTCCGGGGCAGAGAGTTCCACTGCTGAACAGCTCTCACAGTCAGGAAGTTCTTCCTAATGTTCAGATGGAATCTCCTTTCTTGTAGTTGGATCATATTGTTTTACCAATAAGGGATTTAATTATAATACATTCCTACTGAGCAATTCCAGTTGCTTGAGCTGCTCAGGATCTTTAAAAATTGCCAGTAACCATCAATTTTTAACAAATGTCTGATAACATGTACATTCCTTAGAGTTGACTTGAAAGGCATAGTGATTCACCCTGTTGGCTGGTAATTATTCCCCATTTGTAGGATTTATCAGTTATGGAAAGGGATTACATACTGGAATTCCCATTATATAACATTTCGCTAACATTTAGGTCTGAATTTTCAAGCAAGTCTGCATGTCTTTAGTCTGATTTAGGGCAGGGGGCAAAGCTGGCAAACAAATAGGTTTAAGTAATTAGGAGGAGCAAAATTGTCACAGCCGTACAAGCAAGTTTGCTCATCGTTAGTATTTTCACAAGTTCACAGTTACTTTTTAATTGTGGACTTTAAAAATAACATTTCTATAACATTTCAGTGTCAGGTGCAATGCTTGTTCTTCCACAGGTATCAGGCAAGAAGCTTATTGAACTATGAGTAGTAATAATAATAAAAATAATAGTAATAATAATAATGTATACCCCATCACCATCTCCCCAAGGGGACTCAGGGCAGCTTACATGAGGTGAAGCCCAACAATCACAACAAAGCAAGTATACAACATAAAATAATACATCAATAAGAAATAATGAAAATAATAAAAACAGTACAAAATAGGCACACAATACAATATAAAATCACAATAATCCATCACGATGGGCAGGGTGGGTTGCAAAGATTAAAATGTTTAAAAACTCTAGGTGAGATAAGTAATGTAGTGTAATGTAGTGTAGAGCATGTCTTTAAAGGTCTGTACTGTGTGATAAAACTGCAAAACTACTATATGAATCCTTTTGAAATTTGTTCTTGTTCCTTTCTTTCAAATTCTCGTCAGGTACTCCTATCAATAAGCCACCAGTTCTGGGCTATAAGGATCTTAACCTCTTCAAACTTTTCAGACTGGTATATCAGCAGGGAGGGTGTGACAATGTAAGTGTGACATTCGTTGAAGCCTGTATCCATGACCTTTGGTTTTAGATGAATTTTGTATTGAAATATTTGTTAGAAGCAATGCAAGTAACAACAAGTAAAACGTCTCTCTTTTCTCCTGTCCACACACACAAAAGATTGAGAGTGGAGCTGTATGGAAACAAATTTATATGGACCTTGGCATTCCTATTTTGAACTCAGCTGCTTCTTACAATGTAAAAACGGCTTATAGAAAGTAAGTAGTCCTTTTGCCTCTCTGAATAGAAAAATGTTCCTGAGTACATAGATTTTTTTAAAAGATCTTTTTTCTCTTTCTGCAGTGGTCGCCAAAATAGCTCAGAGTAATGTAGACACAAAGGAACATAAGAAACAGAATTTGGAGGAGGGCAAGGATGAGCGGGAGCAAGCACTAGTTAGGAAGGAATCTAACAATGTCACACTTTCAATGAATATGTGGCTGTTTACTATTAAATATTCTCTTCTCCAAGGCTGTCCACTTGTAGGCTGTTGCAATGGCTAGCAACAGTTTAAAATTTCAGATATATTGCAATTAAGAGTGCAATAGTTAACCAATTAATAACAGCTACAATCAGTTGCAGTAGCAGTTGCTATGATCTTTCATGCTGTAATACATTTGTCAGGGATTTGAAAGATGGAAAGGAAGGAGGGAGGGAGGGAACAAGTAAAGAGAGAGAGAGAGAAGAAGGAAGGAAGGAAGGAAGGAAGGAAGGAAGGAAGGAAGGAAGGAAGGAAGGAAGGAAGGAAGGAAGGAAGGAAGGGAGAAAGTTAATCAAGTTGCTTCTGAGTGAAAGGGAATGCAGGAGCGTTGTTTATTTATTTACGATATTTGTACTACACCCTTCTCACCCCAAAGGGGACTCAGAGTGGCCTTACAGTAGGCAGCAATTCGATGCCATGTGAACAAACAGAGTAAAAATAAACATATACATTAAAACATTACATGAAAGAGTATTATAAAACATTAAAAACCAATGATTAAAACCACATAATCCGTAATCATAGTCAAGGCCGTTCCAGTTGTGACTGCATATATTCTGTCTTCACTTATTGCACTGTTTCTATCCAAAGGCTTGGTCCTAGAGCCATGTTTTTACTTTCTTTCTGAAGGTTAGGAGGGAGGGGGCTGACCTGATTTCACTGGGGAGTGAGTTCAACAGCTGAGGGACCACCACTGAGAAGGCCCTGTCTTTCGCTCTACCAACTGCACCTGCAAAGAAGGTGGGACCGAGAGCAGGGCCTCCCCAGAAGATCTTAATCTCCAAGGTGGTTCATAGAGAGAGATATGTTCGGACAGGTATCCTGTGCCAGAACCGTTTAGGGCAGTGGTTCTCAACCTGGGGTCCCCAGATGTTTTTGGCCTCCAACTCCCAGAAATCCTAACAGCTGGTAAACTGGCTGGGATTTTGGGAGATGTAGGCCAAAAACATCTGGGGACCCCAGGTTGAGAACTACTGATTTAGGGCTTTATAGGCTAAAGCCAGCATTTGAATTGTGCTCAGACTGTCAGCCAGTGGAGCTGACGTAACAGGGGGGTGGTATGCTCCCTGTATGGCGCTCTCCAGTGAGGAACCTGGCTGCTGCCTCTTGGACTACTTGAAGCTTCTGAACAGTTTCCAAAGGCCACCCCACGTACAGTGTGTTGCAGTAGTCTATTTGGGATGTAACAAGAGCATGGGACACCATTTGTTGAGTTTTTTAGGCTTTCTTCTTTGGGGCAAACTGTTACCTGAAGGCCGGGGGTGAGGGTTAAAAAGGCATATTCTTCCATTGTATTATTAAGACGATTTGAAGAACACTTCATATTTTTATAGTCCTTAACTATGCTTTCAAATACTTGTAGGTATCTTTATGGTTTTGAAGAATACTGCCGATCTGCAAACATTCAGTTTAGAACCATCCACCACAATGAACCAAAAATAATACAAGTTGTACAGAAGCAAGAAGAACCAATGGAGGAAAATATGAAAGAAGAGCCAGAAATGTCCCCCGTGGAAGTCCAGAACGAGGTGGAAGAAAACGATGGCAGCGGTGAAAGTGAAAAAGAAGACGTCGAGCAGATATCTCCAAGGGTAAGCATTTCGGAAAAGTCATCCAACACTTATCTTCTGTAGCACAAAGCTATGCATTTTGTGACTTCAAATTCCCCTTCTACTTACTCTTATAATCAGGCTTTTCAATCCCACTTGCCCCTCTAAAACCAGATGTCAAAGCGATGCACAGATTACAGTGTAGTCAAAAACATGCAAATGATTAGTATTAAGTGTAATTAAAGTATAAACTGCTGAGCTGCTGAACTTGCTGACTGAAACGTCTGGTGTTCAAATCTGGGGAGCGGGGTGAGCTCCTGCAGTTAGGTCCAGCTTCTGCCAAACTTGCAGTTCAAAAACATACAACTGTGAGTAGATCAATAACTACTGCTTCTGCGGGAAGGTAGCAGTACTCCATGCAGTCATGCTGGCCACATGACCTTGGAGGCGTCTGCAGACAACGCCGACTCTTCAGTTTAGAAATGAAGATGAGCACACACACACACCCCCAGAGTTGGACACGACTAGACTTAATGTCTAGGGAAAACCTTTACCTTTACTTAAGGTTTAACCACTTTAAAAGGAATGCCTGTAAGAAAATGTCTGCAAAACACATCTACGTTGGTTTCTCCCTCCAGAGAGAGTATCAATGTACTATTCCACTGACATATGTTGGAAATGTGGGAAAGAAAAAGGCACGTTTTACCACATGTAATGGACATGCAACAAAGTGAAAAACTTCGGGAAACCGATTCATGTATATCTCAAAAAGATGTTAAACACAAACTTCAGAATGACACCACAATTGTACCTTTTGAATATGCCAGATGAGGAACCAGAAAGGAAATTCAGAAAAAAATGTTTTACATGACAGTAGCAGCCTGAATAGTATATGGAAAACCTCAGAGATACCGCCCTTAGAAGAATGGAAAAAATACATTACAGATTTGCTAATAATGGGTAAAATAACTACTCTTAAGAGGGGAACAATTAGGGAACTTTGTTAATGAATGGCAACCAGTAATTCAGCATCTCAATAAAAAAGTAAAATTACATAGAGGGGTTCCTATAAGACTAGACAAGGAGAAAGCGGATACTAATTTAGATCCTATGATACCTTTATATGTACTATTCAAATTTATTTATCGTATTAGATGTGAACCGAGTTTAAAAAACTTGGCAATTATACAATATGTCCTTTGACCAGAAGCTGGCCACTTGGAGTGTGTGTAAGAAGGTCCTCCATTGTCCTTGTGGCAAGGCTCAGACTGCATTGTAATAGGTGGTCTATGGTTCACTCTTCTGCACACTCGCATGTTGTGGACTCCACTTTGTGGCACCATTTCTTAAGGTTGGCTCTGCATCTCGTGTTGCCAGAGCACAATCTGTTCAGTGCCTTCCAGTCTTTTGTGTGCCCAGGAAGAAGTCCTACCAGCTGTTAAGAATTGTGGGAGCTGAAGTCCAAAACACTTGGAGGGCTGAAGTTTGCCCATGCCTGGGCTAGGGGCTGGCACATGGTGCTGAGTTTTTCCCATTTGGGAAACTCAAATCTACAGACCTTCTGCCATGTGGTGGCATGTTTAGTGTGATTCATGAACTGAAAACTCTGACTTGTTTCTTTCCAATCTGAAGGTGGCTTGTTGAAATGACACTCTCCGTGGAGATGTCAAGCAGCAAGTCATGACAAGCTGCTTGAGAACAGAAAGCCATAGATATATACCATAGAGCAGGCATGGGCAGATTTTGGCCCTCCAGGTGTTTTGGGCTTCAGCTATCACAATTCCTAGCAATCTACTGGCTGTGGGAATTGAAGTCCAAAATGCCCGTGCCTACCATAGTGTTATTTATCCCAGTTTTTCTCCCAATTGTCTGCTGACCTTGTTTGTATGTTAACGGAGTTTGTAGGTTTTTCAGGCTGTATGGCCAAGTTCTAGAAGCATTCTCTCCTGAATTTTCACCTGCATCTATGGCAGGCATCCTCAGAGATTGTGAGGTCCTACAACAATTTTTCTAGTTTCCAACAGACCTCACAACCTCTGAGGATGCCTTCCATAGATGCAGGTGAAACGTCAGGAGAGAATGCTTCTAGAACATGGCCATACAGCCCGAACAACCTACAACAACCCTGTTTTTCCAGCCATGAAAGCCTTCGATAATACAGAGTTTACATGTTTAGATCTTAAATAGACTTTTTAGAATAAAGTAGCCCGTTGTATACATACACAAAATTCTCTGATATACCGCATTTGTCACGAAAAAGCCTTGAATTGGATGCTGCAGTGCTGCATTGTGTAATCTGGCTGCCTTGAAGGCAGCAGTGCATCCTAAATGGCCTGGTTTCCCCCTCTCCTGTCACAGGGACGCCGAAGACTCGTCCGTGATGTTACTGTGGCAAAAAAGGAAAGCGAAGATGAGAAAACGCAGGACAAATTAAAAGACAGCAACAAGGAGAACAACGTCAATGAGGAAATGTCCAATAACAATAATGTAGAAAAAAGGGAAAACGAGATGATGCTTGGAGGCAAAAAGGCCACACCAAAGCAAAAGGAAAAGAAAACAAAGCCGGAAGAGGAATCTGACGGAGACTCCGAAGATGAAGAGGAGAGGAGGCAAGAAAAAAAATACCTTATATGTTTTGTTTTCCTTCTCTCTTACTGTCTGGTATTGCAGCACAACTGCTGAGTACAAAAGGCTTGGGAAATTATACTGACAGTGACATACTGTATGTCTCTTCTCCAAATCTAATTCAGTAGAACATATTCCAAGGTAAACGGGTACATATTGCAAACCTTAATCTGTAACTTGAGTGAAAAGCTGCTTTTATTCGGCAGTTTTATCCTGATCCATATAAAACATTCATCTCCTTGCAAGTCTAATCTTCATGGTTGCTAAGAGCATGGAAAGAAGTGGGATTGTCATGGATGAATTCAGATGTGATGCAAATTGTGCTTCAGTATCGCCAGGAGAAGTCTATGACTGCCCTTCCCTAGCTTGTGTGTTTTGCTTTTCTTTGGTGCAGCTTCCAGTTGGAATTTAGAGATTTCCATTTTAAATTAATATCAGCCTTCCATGTTGTCTGAAGCTATAACTGTGGTTAACCTTAACTGTGTAGTGAAGCTAACACAGCTCCATAAACAATGGTTTGAAAGTGGCTTGCTTCCACTAGCTGTGGTTAAATTATTCTAGTTTGTTCAAGTCTGGATTTCCAAAATAGAAATCATAGACTTACAGAGACCAAAAGGGTCATCCAGTCCAACCCTCTGCTTATGCAGTAAGACACAATAAAAGCCCTCCCAACAGATGACCATAGAGCAGTGGTTCTCAACCTATGGCTCCCCAAGTGTTTTGATCTACAACCCCCAGAAATCTCAGCCAGTTTACCAGCTGTTAGGATTTCTGGGAGTTGAAGGCCAAAACATCTGGGGACCCACAGGTTGAGAACACCTGTCATAGAGCCCCTGCTTAAAAACTTCCAGAGAAGGGACTCCACCATACTCAGAGGGTGTGGTATTCCACCATTGAAAAGCTCTTACCATCAAGAGGTTCTTCCTAATATTCAGGTTGAATCTCTTTTCCTTCATTTTGAATCCTTTGCTGCAGGAAAAGAGATGAAAATTTCCAAACTTCTTGTTCTGTGATGAGTAGTGTAGCCTGGTAGTGCAATGAGTAGCAAGCCTGGAGGTGCAGACCTGTTCCCACAATGCTTATTTATTTATTTATCTATCTATCATGTCAGGAGCAACCAGACAGTTGTATTACATTTTTAACAAAACAAACAAACAGACAGACAGACAAAACACAAAGTTTGCAAGCTTGGTAGTTGATTAAATGTCCTTTAACTAGTATCTGGCCACTTGGAGTGCCTCTGGTGTTGCCGCAAGGAAGTCCTCCATTGTGCATGTAGCAGGGCTCAAGTTGCATTGCAGCAGGTGTTCAGTGGTTTGCTGTTCTCCACACTCGCATGTTGTGGATTCCACTTTGTGGCTCCATTTCTTGAGGTTGGCTCTGCATCTCATGGTGCCAGAGCGCAGTCTGTTCAGCGCCTTCCAAGTCGCCCAGTTTTCTGTGAGCCCAGGGGCCACAATGCTGAACTATGTTTTATCATTACATCTAAGCTAGTCCTTCCTCCAATGGAAGAGTAAATACACGCTATTATATAGTTTGGTGTTAAAATTTAACTTAAGACCTGGGTTCCCTGGGAACAAAGTCCTGGAGTGCCAAGACTCCTCCTCCTCCAGCCAGGCTAGGGTTTCTTTTGTCTCTGTTTTATAAGAATGAACACAAATTGCAGCCAAAGTCACTTCTGGCTTTGTGTTTGAGCTCAGTCATCTATCAGGTCTTCCAAAAATAGATGTTTTTTGGAATATGGATTTGCATTGCTGTGTTGCTTGTTATGGCAGCAGTATACTTGTGAGGAAGACTCTGTAAGGGGTCAGTATTAGCACCCATACTGCAGCATTGGGACTGCAGGAGTGCCTTTCCTAAGACCACCTTTCATAGAATCATAGAGTTGGAAGAGACCTCGTGGACCAACCAGTCCAAACCCATCCTGTCAAGATACAGGAAAATCACATTCAAAGCACTCCCGTCAGATGGCCATGCAGCCTCTGTTTAAAATACTTCAAAGAAGGAGCCTCCACCACATTCTGGAGCAGAGAGTTCCACTGCTGAACAGCTCTCAACAGTTAGGAAGTTTTTTCTCATGTTCAGGCAGAATCTCCTTTCCTGTAGATGTTCCGTATCCTGGTCTCCAGGCCAACAGAAAACAAGCTTGCTCCCTCCTTCTTATGACTTCCCCTCACATCTTGATACATAGCCCTCATCATGTCTCTTCTCAGCCTTCTCTTTTTCTAAACATGCCCAGCTCTTTAAGCTGCTCCTCATATGGCTTGTTCTCAAAACCGTTGATCATTTTAGTCGCCCCACCTCCCCCTGGACACATTCCATAAGTGCCAAGCTGACATTGGAAGTGGAGACTACCCTGCCTATTACTTTTAACAATTTCACCACATAACTACACTTAACATTACAAAAAATATATATCTAAACTTACAGTAAGAGTTTTTTAATAGTGGAATAGACTGCCTTAGAGAGTCTTCGACAATCCTTTGGAGACTAAATGATCATCTCTGAGGGATGCTGTAGATGTGCATTCCTGCATGTCAAGGGGTTTATCTAGGGCAGGGGTCCTCAAACTAAGGCCCGAGGGCCAGATATGGCCTTCCAAGGTCATTTACCCGGCCCACAACAACGACAACAACAACAATCCTATCTCATCAGCCAAAAGCAAGCCCACACTTCCCATTGAAATACTAATAAGTTTATATTTGTTTAAATTGTTCTTCATTTTAATTATTGTATTGTTTAAGCGGCTGAGGGGGAAAAGGAAGGGGCCTGAGGCTATTAGGAATGGTGGGAGTTGGAGTCCAAAACACCTGGAGGGCCCAAGTTTGTCCATGCCTGAGGTAGAGCTTCCTCGAGAGATGTTCTCTCAAGATAAATTTTTTAAATCACATTTTTATGGGGCCCTATATCCCTAATCCCAGTGAATGTAGTGTTGGTAAACTACACTATATTACTGACATTTTAAAAAGTGGTCCAGAACAGTTGACTTATTGATAACACTGGTATTGAGCTCGAGAGCTTTCCACTGATGGCTCTCTCTCTCACTGCAGGATTGATTAGGTGCTTCTGTAAGATTCATTACTTGGGACGTGGAGTTTTTGCCAGGAGCCTCTTGCTGAGTCATGTCCCTTCGAGGCAGAGGTTGGCAGCACTGTGGGCCATCACAAACGCGTCGCCTGATGGAGGGAGGAAGGTGACCGCTGTGCTGCCGCCTGCATTTAGTCTCTAATTGGTCTGCATCTTCTTTCCTGGCTTGTTTCAGGGAAGAGCTTGAAAACCAGGGAGAATCGGAAGGAGAGGAGGGCGAGGACGACTCGGAGCCTTGCCTCACGGGAACCAAAGTCAAAGTAAAATACGGCCGTGGGAAAACCCAGAAGATTTACGAAGCCAGTATTAAAAGTACAGAAAATGATGACGGAGAGGTGTTGTATTTGGTACATTACTACGGCTGGAATGTAAGGTAAGGGGGGAAATGTTAAATCAAGTTTTCGGTGCTGTGTAGCAGCTGCATTGAAAATTCAAGTTCACCAGTCCCACCACTTTTTCTTTGTATGATCAGATCAGGAGCAGCTCTTCGTCAAGTTGTAAATTTTCCCAGTTGCTTTAGGAGCTGGTTGATGCAGCCATTTTTTGCCAAAAGCTATAGGTTGTGTCTTCAAATCATCCATCAACTTAAGGCAACCACATGAATTTTAAGAAGTATTCAAGAGATCGCTTAGCCATAGAATCATAGAATCAAAGAGTTGGAAGAGACCTCATGGGCCATCCAGTCCATCCAGTCAAGAAGCAGGAATATTGCATTCAAAGCACCCCTGACAGATGGCCATCCAGGCTCTGTTGAAAAACCTCCAAAGAAGGAGCCTTCACCACACTCCGTGGCAGAGAGTTCTACTGCTGAACGGCTCTCACAGTCAGGAAGTTCTTCCTCATGTTCAGATGGAATCTCCTTTCTTGTAGTTTGAAGCCATTGTTCCATTGCGTCCTACTCTACAGGGCAGCAGATAACAAGCTTGCTCCCTCCTCCCTATAACTTGATCCATGGCCTTTATCAGGTCTCCTATTAGTCAGGAAGTTCTTCCTCATGTTCAGATGGAATCTCCTTTCTTGTCGTTTGAAGCCATTGTTCCATTGCGTCCTAGTCTCCAGGGAAGCAGAAAACAAGCTTGCTCCCTCCTCCCTGTGACTTCCTCTCACATATTTATACATGGCTATCATATCTCCTCTCATCCTTCTCTTCTTCAGGCTAAACATGCCCAGCTCCTTAAGCCACTCCTCATAGGGCTTGTTCTCCAGACCTTTGATCATTTTGTATGATCAGATCAGGAGCAGCTCTTTGTCAAGCTGTTAAAATTTCTCTGTTGCTTTAGGAGCTGGTTGATGCCGCCATTTTTTTGCCTAAAGCTATAGGTTGTGCCTTCAAATCATCCGTCAACTTAAGGCGACCACATGAATTTTAAGAACTGTTCAAGAGATCGCTTAGCCATGAAGAATTGCACCTTCAGGAGACCTCTCATCCTTCAGAGTTTGGACTTCCATTGGCCTCTGACAAACAATCAGTGCTCAATAATGTTGTAAATATTAATTCAGCAACATCTGGAACACATGCTGACATACAGTGGCAGCCTTATCAGAGGGTCATGACAAGATAATGTTTTCTTTTCCCAGCATCCTTGTCCTAAATCAGCAATTACCTCTTGGACAGAGCATAGAATCATATAGTTTAAAGAGACCCCAAGGGCCATCCAGTCCAACCCACTGTTAAGCAGTAACACACAATCAAAGCACTCCCGACAAATGGCCATCCAGCCTCTGCTAAAGAATATCCAGAGAAGATTCAATCAGGCAGCATATTCCACTGCTGAACAGCTCTTACAATCAGGAGGTTCTTCCTAAGATTTAGATGGATTTAGATTTAATTTTCTTACAGTTTGAATCCATTTCTCCATTGTGTTCTAGTCTTCAGGGCATCAGAAAGCAAACTTACCTCCTCCTTGATATGACATCTTTTCAGATTTTTACATATGCTTATCATGTTGTTTTTCTTTTATGCATTTATATATTTGTATCTTTCTTCTCTCCTGAAGGAGACTCAAATGGCTACCAGTATTAAAAGAAACTCTAAAATTATAACAGTAAATAAAGAACAACACTCGAACACAGGGGAACTCCTGACAAGAAACAGTCAGGAACAGCTAATCACCTCTCAACAAAGGATTCCCCAAGGCACCAACAAGTCACACCTAAAAACTGTCAGGCCATTAAATGCTAATCAAGGTGGCCAATTGAAACATTCACACCTAGCTCCAACAGACAAGAGTTCTTTCTACTACCCTGGACATTGCACAGATATATAAACCCGATTTTCCTAGTTTCCAGCAGACCTCACAACCTCTGAGGATGCGTGCTATAGATACAGGTGAAACGTCAGGAGAAAATGCCTCTAGGACATGGCCATATAGCCCAAAAAACCCACAACAACCTAGTGATTCCGGCCATGAAAGCCTTCAACAATATATTATTCTTATTATATGTGTGTGTGTGTGTATAAATATAGATAAACAGAGATCTTTGGATAGCATTGGGAAGGGTTAACACCCCTGTGGTGTTTCTTTTGCTGTCTGTGCCCCTGTTCAGGAGATTTCACCTCACTTTCCATCCCTGTGATAATTGGATTTTTTTAAAAAATGTCTTGTTGTGGAAACAAGGATTTGTGAGAAAGCTTCAGTGGAGACACCTTTCCCCCATGATAACTCTTTCAGGAGTGGGTTTCCCTTTTAAGGGGTTGATTTCTCTCACTTCCTGTTGTCTCAGCCCCATTCTTAAGTATGAGCCATTTATAAGTCAGAAATTTGTAATTTGGAAAGATGCCTATATTATGTTTATTAACACAGGGGAAAATCTGAAAGTTTTTAAGAATTTTATATGTATGTATATATGTATTTGAGAGTCAGCGTGAAATAATGATTTGAATGCTCAAGTAGCATTCTGGAATACCAGAGTTTGAATCCCAGGCATGGAAATCCTCTTGATGACCTTAAGCAAGTACTACTCACTTTTGTCGTAGAGGAAGGGCAGTGGCAATACTCTACTTAACAAAAAAACTTGCCTATAAACCTTCTGTTAGGTTTACTTTGGCGGTCGCTATAAATTGGAAATGACTAGAAGTCATAAAATTACAACTGTAAGGTATTTCATTCATATTTTCTTTTGTCTCATTGTGAAGAAGTTTCTTTTGGTAATGAATTTCTATAACTACTCAAGATCTTGAGAAATAAGTATTTCACTGGAAAAATTAGAAAATTCTACTTATAAAAATGTCTAGATCCCCCCCTTTTTTGTCCACACCACTCAAGTATTATCTTGAACTTTTCTTGCATGTTTTGCCATCAGTATTGTCCAAAATTGCTAAATTCAACGTCAAGTGTCTAATAAAATAGTGTACATTTCTTGTAGGTATGATGAGTGGGTGAAAGCCGATCGGATTATTTGGCCAGCAGAGAAAGGAGGATCAAAGAAGAAACAAAAGAAAAAAGCAAAAGTAGGTAACAGTGGTGAATTCCTTTTCAACCTTGAAATGTGTTTTTAAAGGCTTTCTTTCTGACTACCTTTTGAAAATACTGCAGACAACATCTCAGTACAGAAACTGAGAAATTGAATTCAATTCAATTAGAGAAATTGAATTGGATTTCAACAAATGTTTGCCGTTTGTCAAAACTGTACTGAGTATCAATAACCTCCTGGTCTGAATTCAAGATGATTGAAATCCCAAAAGGCTTCAGACTTCAATATGCAAGAGAGCATGTCTCCCTATATTTGCCTGCCTGTTGATTGAGACCCCATATATACTGCCATCTAATGCAGTTGGACACTACATTGCATAGTCAGTGTAGACTCTTATAATGTAGTTCGATGGTGTTAAACTGCATTATATGGATCTATACTTACTATATAATGTAGTTTCAAACTTCATTATATGGCAATATAGATGTGGCCTGAGATATGCTATTTCTGATCAGTGACAAATCACAATAGACAAATCACAACAAGGTATTTGCTGGAGGTGCAGGAAACAGAAAGGGACCTTCCTCCATATGTGGTGGACCTGTGTGATCATACAGGAATTTTGGGACAAGGTAATTAAAGAGACTAATAAAATGTTACATAACAAGATTTAAAAAAAGCCCAGGATTGTGTCTGCTAGGTCTACATAGAGAAAACATCAAACAAAAGGACCAGGAAATATATCAATATAGATTTGCAGCGGCAAGATTGACCATAGGCAAAGACTGGAAAGGGGAAAAAGGTCTAACCAAAAAGGATTGGAATTAATCAACTACTTTGCTTGCAGGGTTTATCCTGTTTTGTTTGAAAGCTTTAAAAGCTGTACTATTTTTTTAATGCTGAGTTATGATCAGTAGGAAGGAGGGAGGGGGACTTTGGTATTCAGAAGGGAGAAGTTTATATATTCCCAGACTAAACTTTGGCACTTACCAAACCGATCCACAGTAAATCTTCTGAAATTACTCTCTAAAACCTTGTGCGTACTCCTAAGTTAAGGCTATATGCTTGCTTTCAGAGCAAAGAAGAATGTGAAAAAGATGAAAAGAAAGAAGAGGAGAAACAAAAGGCAAAGCGTGGCCGCCCTCCTCTGAAGTCCACTCTTCTGTCCAACCTGGCTTCCTGTTTAGCCAAATCTGCAAATCGTGAAAGCCAGCCAGGTGTCCGAAGTGCGCGGAGCAGCCTCCCAGAGGGCTCACCTTTACCTAATGGAACAGAAGGTAACTTCCAGTTTGGTGTCATGATGAGTTGGGGGGCACTTTCTATTTTGACTTGTCAAATACTGCTAATGTATAGGGCTCAGTATTGTCCCCCATGTTGTTTAAGATCTACATGAAGCCCTGGGTGAGATCATCCGGAGTTTTGGAGTTCAATGCCATCTGTACACAGATGACGTCCAACTCTATCACTCATTTCCACCAGATTCTAAGGAGGCTGTCCAAGCCCTGAACTGAGGCCTGGCCACTGTGACGGTCTGGATGAGGGCGAGCAAATTGAAGTTGAATCCAGACAAAACAGAGGTCCTTCTGGTCAGTCGCAAGGCTGAACAGGGTATAGGGTCACAACCTGTGCTGGACGGGGTCACACTCCCCTTGAAGGGACAGGTTCGCAGCTTGGGGAGTTCTCCTGGACTCATCACTGAGCTTGGAATCCTAGGTTGCAGCGGTGGCCAGGGCATTTTTCGCACAATTAAAACTTGTGCACCAGCTCTGCCCGTACCTTGGGAAGTCAGAGTTGGCCACAGTGATCCATACTCTCATTACATCTAGGATAGACTACTGCAATGCACTTTACGTGGGGTTGCTTTTGAAGACTGCTCGGAAGCTTCAAATAGGCAGCCAGGTTAATAACTGGGGCGGCATACAGGGAGCATACAACTCCCATGTTACACCAGCTCCACTGGCTGCCCGTTTGCTCCCAGGCACAATTCAAAGTGCTGGCTTTGGCCTATAAAGCCCTAAACGGCCCCAGCCCAAATTACCTGTCTGAACGCATCTCCCCCTATGAACCATCGCAGAGATTAAGATCCTGCTTTCCGTCCCGCCGTTGTCACAGGCGCGATTGGTGGGAACGAGAGACAGGACCTTCTCAGTGATTGCTCCCCGGCTATGGAACTCCCTTCCTAGTGAGATCAGGTCAGCCCCCTCCCTCCTGTCCTTTAGAAGGATGGTAAAAACTTGGCTGTGGGACCAAGCTTTCAAGGCAGGGCAGTAAAGCAGCAATAGGAAAGATGACCAGGCCAATTAGATTTGACGTGGATGACTAGGACGGTTTTCAATGGTGTATTTTAATATTTTGATAAATGTTTTTATCATGTATGTATATTAGAATTTGTGTCCCGGCATTGAATGTTTGCCATATATATACTGAGTCCCCTTCAGGGTGAAAAAGGCAGAATATAAATGTTTTAAATAAATAAATAATGATTGACACTTTGAGTGTCTTCTAAATATCAACATCCTCATTAGAATAGATAGCTGTCCCTCTCTTGAAAGTCAAGAAGCATTAAGTTTTGCTGTTTCAAAGGTCAGGAAAAAAGTAAAGGTTTTCTGTGCAGAAACTCCTTGTTCCCTCTTGATACTGAAGCCTCTTCCTTTAATTTTTAGGACTGTCTCGTCGGCAAACAAGACGAAGCTCAGGAATGTTGGATTCTGATAGAGGCTCAAATGGTGAGTACGGAGGGTTGTAAATTGTGGGATGATATTGCATAAAAAAGGGAAAAGGGGTTGTAATTTGTGTTTAAATACTTACCTTGTCGCTTTTCAGTAGCACACAGTAGTTACTGGTTGTGAATTGAGGTGATTATTCATAGTCTCCGTGGCTTACATACTGTAATCGGTAGTTAATTGAGATTTCCCCCAGTGTAAATATTAATTGTCCTTTAGTGTCTGGTTTCAGCTTAGCGTAATGTAATAATATAATGCTGTTCATTTCCAAGCAAATGAGCGTATTGTTCCAAATAGCGATTCTAGTGAGATTGCTTTTGTACTCTTGATGCAAAAACTAGAGAATAAATGACAATAATGCTACATTTAGATATACAGGTTGAGCATTCCCTATCCAAAAATCAGAAATACTCCAAAACTGTCCACATGGATGGATGAAATAATGACATGTTTGCCCTCTGATGGTTCAGTGTACATACTTAAACTTTGTTTCATGCACAAAATTATTACAAATATTGTATATAAAATATCTACAGGCTATTTGCATAAATTGTATACAATACATACCGTATATACTCGAGTATAAGCTGATGCAAATATAAGCTGAGACACCTAATTTTACCACAAAAAAAAAACCACTGGGAAAATGTATTGATTCAAGTATAAGGTGGGAAATGCAGCAGCTATCGGGAAGTTTCAAAATAAATAGATACCAATAAAATTACATTAATTGAGGCATCAGTAGGTTCAATGTATTTGAATATTTACATAAACTGGCATTTAAGATAAGACTGTCCAACTCTGATGAAACCATTATTCTAACCTTCTTCAATGTAAATGTGCTTGCATATCCTTCCAATAATAATAAAGAGAGTAAAATAATAAACGTAATAAAATAATAATAGCAGAGTAAAATAATGGAAATGGAATAATAACAATACCATAAAAGAATGCATGTAATAATAATAATAGAGTAAAATAATTTAAATTCAATACTTTCACTCTTCACTTAGGCGATCCCTCGTTAGCCAAGTAGGATAGTCTTCCAGGATCAGTATTCTGGTGGGTCCATACCGTAGGTGACTGTGGAGCCCTATTCTTGATCTGCATGTTCTCCCGCAGTGAGGGCATTGGTTCCCAGGGGTTGGCTTGATGTGCCTTCCTCTTGGACGTTTCTCTCTTTCACCCTCCACTCGTGCCTCTTCAAATTCTGCAGCGCTGCTGGAGGTCACAGCTGACCTCCAGCTGGAGCGCTCATGGCCCAGGGCTTCCCAGTTCTCAGTGTCTATGCCAGAGTTTTTAAGGTTGGCTTTGAGCCCATCTTTAAATCTCTTTTCCTCTCTTCCAACATTCCGTTTTCCGTTCTTGAGTTTGGAGTAGAGCAACTGCTTTGAGATACGGTGGTCGGGCATCTGGACAACGTGGCCGGTCCAGTGGAGCTGATGGCGGAGGACCATTGCTTCATTGCTGGTGGTCTCTGCTTCTTCCAGCACGTTGACGTTTGTCCGCCTGTCTTCCCAAGAGATTTGCAGACACAGCGCTGATGGAATCGTTCCAGGAGTTGCATGTGACGTCTGTAGACAGTCCACGTCTCGCAAGCATATAGCAGGGTTGGGAGAACAATAGCTTTATAAAGAAGCACTGTGGTATCCCTACGGATGTCCCGGTCCTCAATTCAATAATTCAATAATAATAATAGTAAATAGAGTAAAATAATAGATATAATAAAAATAATAATAATGACCCAGTAAGATAATAAGTAACTCTGACTCAAGTATAAGCCGAGGGGGGCTTTTTCAGCCTAAATAAAGGGCTGACAAACTCAGCTTATACTCGAGTATATATGGTTAATGAATGTAATTGTTAGGTTTGGTCCCATAAAGATACCACATTATGTACACATATACAAATTTAGTTTTTTCCTAAAATCCAATAGTGATATGATAATAATAATTTATATTTATAGACCTCGTTCTCTCTTGAGAGACAGAAAGAGAGAGACTCAAAGCACTTAACACTTAAAAGACATAGAATATATAAATTAAAACCAAAAACATATAAATATTAAAATAGATTTAAATATAGGAATGTTATATATATATATACAGTAGTCAAAACTAATAAAGCCATTAAAATTCCTATTAAATTACATAAAATATCACCCCTTCACTTGGTCTTTAAAATCATGTTATCCAAAATGCTTCCATTCCCAAGTATTTCTGAGAAGTGATACTCAACCTGTACCTGTGATGTGATGTTTTAAATCACCTAAATACTTTATAGCAGGTGGCATGATTTACTTTATCAGTTGAAAGGAGGAGAAAGCAATGTTTTACAAGCATGCCCATACTGTATTATATTTTTGTGTTTTATTTTAGTACCCGTATAAAACATCTTGAGAGAAGTGGTCATAAAACATCAATTGGCTTTATTTTTCTTTTACTTCTCATGAATGAAATGGTTTGAGGCTTCCTTTTTTTTACTAAGAAACTATCTGAATATAATTTCTTGCACTTTATCAAGGAGCCAAAAGCAAAGTCAGCATTGAATATTAAGAGAGGTGCTTCCCCTTGTAAAAGTGGGCAGATTCAAACGATACTGTTGTCTTAGCCCATTCTGTTTGTAGTTTTGTATGAACTAAGTTTTTATTGATTGTATCCGAAGCTGTGCCTTGTCTTGACCATTTTGTGGTGTGTATGTGTTGTTTTGGTAGACTCCATTTCGTCTGACAGCGATGCAGATGAACCTTCCGAAAAGAATACGAATGAAGAGTTTTCCCCAGCTAGTTCTGAACCCGAAAAGGATGAGAAACAAATTGTTGACAAATCCGACGAAGAGATCCCAAAGATCATGCAGGTGCTCAAAGAGAATGACAGGAATCAGGTCTACTCTCTAGAAACATTGAAACTAGAAGTGGAGGAGCATGAACAAGTGGTTCAGATTTTTGTAAACAAAAGCGATCAAGTTGAGGACATCAAGAGAGAGATGGAGAAATCGCCTAAAGGGAAAGGGCGAAGGAGCAGAACGAGGGAGTCTTCCTTAGAGAACGTAAAGATTGTACAGCTAAACCAAGAAGAGCCAAGCGAACATCTGGTTGAATGTGAAAGATTAGATACTTCTGCCTTGGACAGTAGTAAGTGTTTGAGCACCACTTGTGAGAACGAAACAGATGCGTGTTCAAAAGAGAAGAAGCTTATGAAAAGGAAAACAACGGAACAGTTGTCTCCTGACAAACGGCTGCGAGTGGAGAATGAAATGGAAGTGCCAAATATTGTGACGGAGGAGAGGACAAGTGAATGTTCTGGGACAAAAGAATGTAAGGATTTCAGTGCTGATGAGTCCCTCAGGAATGAGAACGAGGAGATGCCCTCCTTGGTGGCAGAGTTGGACCAACGCCTTCAGGATCAAGGGAGCGAGCATTTCGATGGATCTTCTGAGGAAAACCAGAGCATCCCGCTGAAGGATGAGGATGACTGCATGCCCCAAATTGGGCCCGAAACTCTCCTTTGCCATGAAGTAGACTTGGATGACCTTGATGAGAAGGACAAGTGTGGGCCTGAGAACTCTATAGCAGAAAAACATGACACCAGTAATCCCACTTCCAGTCTCTCTGCCTTACCTCCTGTGGTCCAGCCAAACTTCTCTGTTGCCTCACCTCTCACTCTCAGTCAGGACGAATCGCGGAGCATAAAGAGCGAAAGCGACATCACCATAGAAGTGGACAGTGTGGCAGAAGAGTCTCAGGAAGGCCTGTGTGAGAGTGAGTCCGCGAACGGGTTTGACGCCTGCACCACTTCAAGCAATTGTAGCGTAGCCATCCGAGAAAGGGAGGTCGGAGAGAAAGGTAAGACCTGCTTCTCTTTTGGGGACGCATTAAAAAGCGAGTTTCTGCTCACTCTGGCACGTTAGACAGGGCGAAAGTGTGGTTGCAAGAAAGCTGAAGAGTGAGGAATAATAGAATTATAGAACCATAGAGTTGGTGGAGACCCCAAGGGCCATCCAGTCCAACACCATTCTGGCATGTAGGAATACCCAATAAAAGCACTCCTGACAGATGGCCTTCCAGCCTCTGCTTAAAAACTTCTAGAGAAGGTGACTCCACTGGGCATAGTCCACTGTCAAACAGGTCTCACCATCAGGATGTTCTTCCTAATGTTTAGGTGGAATCTCTTTTCCTGCAGCTGGGACCCATTGCTCCATTGTGTCATGGTCTCCAGAGCAGCAAAAACCCAGCTTGCCCCCTCCTCAATGGGACATCCTTTCAAATATTTCAAAATGGCTCTTGTGTCTCCTCTCAGCCTTCTTTTCTCCAAGCTAAACAGACCCAGCCCCCTCAGCCACTCCTCATAGGACTTGGCTTCTGATCATTTTATCGATCTTCTCAGAGCACCCTTCAGCTTGTCCGTATCCTTCTTAAATTGCAGTGCCCAGAACTGGACACAGGGTTATTCCAGGTGAGGTCTGGTCAAAGCAGAAGAGTGGGACTGTGACTTTCCTTGATCTAGAAACTGTACTCCTATTGGGTTGTTGTAGGTTTTTTTGGGCTATATGGTCATGTTCTAGAGGCATTCTCTCGAAGGTTTGCCTGCATTTATGGCAAGCATCCTCAGAGGTAGTGAGGTCCTTACAACCCCTCAGGATGCTTGCCATAGATGCAGGCGAAATGTGAGGAGATAATGCCTCTAGAACAGTGGTTCTCAACCTGTGGGTCCCCAGGTGTTTTGGCCTACAACTCCCAGAAATCCCAGCCAGTTTACCAGCTGTTAGGATTTCTGGGAGTTGAAGGCCAAAACATCTGGGGACCCACGGGTTGAGAACCACTGCTCTAGAGCATGGCCATATAGCCTGAAAAAAACCTACCACCCAGTGATTCCGGCCATGAAAGCCTTCGGCAATACACTCCTATTCATGCAGCCTGGGATCAAGGAGGGAAAAGCAGACCCTAATTAGTCATGGCTTTTGGAGAATTATCTCTGAAATTTTCATATCCGAATAATTCATTTTTGTCCCACTAAGACAGCAAACAATAAATAGTTCAGATGGGTAAAAGTATTAGAGAAACTTGCAATCTGGTAGCAATGTGTTGTGTGCTACCTGAAGTGTTCCCCTGTGTTAGCTGCAGGAGGTTTTTCTTTGCCTGCTGACAAACATGGGGAACCCAGTTTCTCCTCTGATGTTTCTTAGAGCATTTTTGAAGTTTAGTACAATTGGAATGTTCCTCCAGATCCACACACAGAAGACACTTAGAACTGAAAGGCAACGTACAAGCCCCAACCCACAAGCCTTCTTTCTTAGTTCAGGTTGAGACACAGATATTTCATCTGACCACAAACCAGGTTTGGAGGTCTCACACAACATCAGGGGTTATGCCTTCCTGAATTAACCCCAAAAGCTAAGGCAAATGTTTGGATCCATGTTTTGGATCTAAAATCAATTTCCTAAAAATGGACATCTAAATTAGATTCTGCAATTTCTGGTAGAGGCTTCAATACAAGGCTGTCTTGTTCTTGATTTAGTATACTGAGAAAGTACTGCGCATAAGCTGCATGAGAGTGCAATTCCTCACAACTGCAATGCAAGTCACTCCCTCACATCTAATTTACAATCTCGCTTCCTTGCTAGAGGTAATGAGCTGAGACACAAAAGCAAGGATTATGGAGGGCAAGTGGACTCTACTGTATAATGTCACAATGTGGAGTGCTCCTTGGTCAAAACTCCAGTCGTTGCATCCTCCACACTCCATTTTTATTCTTATATCCTGCCAATTGATACTCATTGACCACTGAATAGTGCTAACCGAATGTCCCTGCAGATTTTCCTAAGGGTTTTAAAACATCTTGGGTGTTCCTGAAAGTGTGTGTATTGGTGGTACTATTCTGACTTCATAAGGGCTCATACTTGGGAGAATTGCAGTCACTCTTTGTATTTATGTTGCTGTCAAGAAGCTGCATGTCAGTACACAACAACATCCTTCCAAACTGCATTTGGGGGCCATAGTGCAGCAACGAATGTTTGACATGCATTCCAAGAGCCATCTGTTACCTGCAAGTCATTGTTTATTCTCAAACTGAGATTGATACATTCGGTGTATCAAAAGCAAAACCAAAAAGAGTGATAGAAATCTGCCTCATAAATATGTGAAATTTGGTAGTTGAACATCACAAAAGAAAAATTAGATTAAGTTTGCTGCAAGATCAAGTTTTTCTCTACCTTTTTTGTCCTCTACTGCTTTCACTTTGCTTTCTTTATTTACTTCATGTAACTCCCATTGCCTGTCTAGAGTGCAGATTTCTATGCGTGCCTCTGTGTCCTATATACTTGCTCACATGGTGTGAGGCACGGGGACATTATTCCACTGAATCTCCTATGTCTTCTGCCAAATGATAATAATAATAATACCTTATTTGTACCTTGCTCTCTCCAGATTTGAACCACTGACCTGTTGGTCAGCACTCCTGTTGGCACAAGGGTTTAAACCATTGAATACAAACAATAGACAACGTGAAGAGATAAAATTTATTTTGTTTTTGAAATTTCTAAAACACAGTTATATCTGTGCGTCATTGGGTTTCTTCAAACATGAACTAAAGTGCCAAATAACAATGATCGATGCTATCACATGCCCATAGTATATTACTCCAGGTCAAAGGCCCATGTAAATAACCATGTTTTTACGCTCGAACAGAAGCTTTGGAGATTTGGGGTTAACCTGATCCATCTGGGGAGGGCATTCCAGAGCCAGGGAACCACCAGCAAGGCTTTCTCTCTCTCTTTCCTTCTCTCTCTATCTCTCTTTCCCACCAACCACATCTTTAAACATCTGCTGGGGAGGCCCTTCTCTCGGTCCAACCACTGGTCCTAACGGTGGTAGGACCGAGAGAAGGGCCTCCCCAGCAGATCTCAAGGCCTGCACCGGGTCATAGAAGGAGATGATGTCTCGAAGATAGGTTGGACCTGAAGTGTATAGGGCTTATTTATTTATTTACGACATTTATATGCTGCCCTTCTCACCCCGAAGGGGACTCAGAGCAGCTTACAAGTAAAAAATAAATACAATATATTATATTTATTTATTTATTTATTTATTTACTTTGCTTATATACCGCTGTATCTCAAGCCCGAAGGCGACTCACAGCGGTTCACAAACAGTAAAAACAGTAGAAACAGCAGTGGTTCCATACAACATATAACAATTGACTTAACACATTATCCATAAATTACCAATAAGCAATTACAATGCACAATTATTACAAAAAACAACCGTACCCAATCTTCTCATCATCCAAGCGTAGTCCAGGTTCGTCGTCCATTGTTCCATTCCTATGTTCCATTACCAGATTGCACTAAATTACTCAAACGCCTGCACAAACATCCAGGTCTTCACCTTTTTGCGGAATACCATTAGAGATGGTGCTAGTCTAATGTCCGTAGGAAGGGCGGTCCACAGCCGAGGAGCCACCACCGAGAAGGCCCTATCTCTCGTCCCCGCCAGCCGAGCTTGAGAAGCAGGCGGGATCGAGAGCAGGGTCTCCCCGGAAGATCTCAAAGTCCTGGTGGGTTCATAGGCAGAGATGCGGTCAGATAGGTAGCTTGATTATATTATTATCATAGCACAATATTAATATTATATATTACATTGTACTATAACATTATACTGTAATATTATTAGTAATATTACATTTAATATAAAATATATAATTATAATATCATATTATTAGTAGTAGTTATATTGTATTACATTATAATATTATCAATATTATATGTATATACAATATATTATATTATATTATATTATATTATATTATATTATATTATATTATATTATATTATATTATATTATAAGCACAGTGAAGGAGGCAAGATGGAACTGCCTTCATGGCCCCTTCATGGCTTTATAAGTAATAACCTTCACTTTGAATAGCTAGCCCCAGTTAGTAATGTCATTGTGGAATATTGTTGGGGAAGCTCTGTCTAAAATTATGCCCTGTCCTACAAGTATATCTAGGCTTGGTGTATCTCCTTGCAGCACACTGTATTTTAGTTCCCCTTATTTGGGCGCCTTAGTCGACATCTGGAACCAATCGTACCCTAAAGAGTTATTAAATGAAAATGGCCTTCATTTTAATTTCAGGTCAAAAAAGGCCTTGCGAGAATAGTAGCAGCTCATTGGCAAAGAAGCAAAAGCGCACCCCAAAACGAGCAAGCACTGTAGCCAAAAACGAAAAGAATGGGGCAGGTATGTTTTTTTTTATTTTCCAGAACAGCATGTGCTCTACTTTTTTTGTTCTTTCTGTAATTGCAGTGTTATATATGCCATGGTTAGAGAGATGTGGATCTCTTCCAGTCCTTTTGGGAGTGGGAGGTGGGGAGGGATTGATGCTTTGCCCAAGAAGAAATCATTTCAGTTTAGGAAGTGAAAAGTCACGGTTTTTCATACAGCCATAATAATAAAACTGTTCAAGATGGATTTTCTACAATAACTAAGGTTTCTTAACAGAAAAATGTGTTAAGAAAGTCTTGGTTTGACTGCTTTTCAAAGACATGGAGACCGTATGTTGGCAAAAAATAAAAGACTAAAGATGAACTATTACTTGCAGGTTTTGCAAACATGATTAATCCTTCATCAAAAAGATGTTTTCTACATTTGACTGCCTACCAACAGGGCCAAAGTGGAGAATGCAGAAACCTATAGTTTCCTTAGGGTGTTTCAGAATATAATTTTAAGCACATGGTTACTGTGTGGGACTCTGTGGTAAGAACCCAATGCTTGGGTTTCTAATCCACTGTTAGCTGTGATAAGAATTTTAATAGGCAGATGAAAGTGTTCCATCTTCAGCTGAAATGTGTACGTGTTTTATGCCTGTACATACAGCTTACATTTTGCAATAATAGATGGGTTCCTGGCTGCTGCTGGGCAAAGGGAAGTTTTCACTTTGACTCTTACATATGTAAAGAAATGTGTCCTAGATTTTTTTGGAGATGCGGCTTGGGAAACTGGCTGCAGTTTCTGAAATATGAGGCTTCACGTTGCATGATTCATTTGCAAGGGGTTCAAATGTCTGGATTTCAGGCTTGTCTTTTAACAATCAGGATGCCTTTGGTATGTGCAATAAATACTTATTTATCTATCTATTTATTTACAGTATTTATATTCCACCCTTCTCACCCCACAGGGGACTCAGGGCGGATTACAATGCACATATACATAGCAAACATTAAATGCCGGTGGTGCAGTGGGTTAAACCTTTGTGCCAGCAGGACTGAAGACTGACAGGCCGCAGGTTCGAATCCGGGGAGAGGCGATGAGCTCCCTCTGTCAGCTCCAGTTCCCCAAGCAGGCACATGAGAAAAGCCTCCCACAAGGATGATAAAAACATCAAATCATCCGGGCATCCCCTGGGCAATGTCCTTGCAGACGGCCAATTATCTCACACCAGAAGTGACTTGCAGTTTCTCAAGTTACTCCTGACACACACAAAAAATTCAATGCCATAGACACACAACATATATAGACAGACACAGAGGCAATTTAACATTCCAGCTTGTCTTGAGGGTATTCTGGCCACCAAGGGAGCTGTCCCTTCACCAACCATTTGTGGCACTGATGAAGTACTTCCTCAATCTTTGCAGGCTTGCTGGAGATTTTTATGGCCTCGTAAATTAGTTAAATTTGTCTCCCACATAAGCGGTACCTAAATTTCCTACTTGACACATGCAACTATTTTTAGGGCTGCAAAGGTCGACAGCAAGCTAAATAAATTGGTCGGAAGCTCGCTCCGACCTGGGCTGGCTTCGAACTCATGACCTTTTGGTCACTAGTGATTTTAATGCAGCTGCGCCACAGTCTGACTAGAGTCCAAATGGTTTCTTCATAATGTGGGTCTGTAAGGGAAATGATTTGTGTTCTAGTTCCTATGGATGTCAGAGGAGGGTCCTTATGGCGGGTGATATAGTGTCATGGCAAAGAGTGTGAGCTGAAGGAACCCCATTTCAGATCTTATGAATTGTCAACTCATGTGTAGTCTAGCCTTCCCCCATAGGATTGCTGTGAGGGGTTAAAATGGGACTGAAGTAGAACAATCAACCAGTTACCCTTCTCTTAGGCTCTGTCTGCATTCTAGAATTAAAGCAGTTTGACATCACGTGATCTAACATGGCTCAATGCTATAGAAACACGGGAGATGTAGTTTCACAAGGTCTTTAAGCTTCCTCTGCCAATGAGTGTGGGTGCCTCATCAAACAACAACTCCAAGAATTCCATAGTAATGAGTTATGACAATCAGATTGTTTAGTGGTGTCAAACTGGATTAATTCTTACAGGAAGAGGGGCCGACCAAGGGCAAGATGGATAGATGGTATCTTTGAAGTGACTGGCTTGACCCTGAAGGAGCTGGGGTGGTGACGGCCAACAGGGAGCTCTGGCATGGGCTGGTCCATGAGGTCACGAAGAGCCAGAAGCGATTGAACGAATGCACAACAACAGACGCACTGTGTTTCGGTTCTTCCCACCACCAACAAAAATGCAACATGTTTATGATAATATTGGTAGTCTTTTAAGAGCCGAAGATTACTAAGATGATATATATACCAGGCATGGCAAATTTGGGTCCTCCAGGTGTTTTGGATTTCTACTCCCACAATTCCTAACAGCCAATTTCTAACAATTCCTAAAAGCCTTCGACAAAGCCAATAGGCTGCTAACAATTGTGGGAGTAGAAGACCAAAACACCTGTAGGTCCCAAGTTTACCCATACCTGATGTATATGAAGCACGATTAGACGATAACAGAAATTATGGGTACTTGTTTACCTTACCATAGCAGTATTTGTGATATGAATTTGTATTGTCAGGGAAATGGTTAGTGAGATTGCAGGTTGTATGATTGGCTGTGCAGGGATACCAAATGTTGTCTTGTTACAGGGCAAAGCAGTGACAGTGAAGATCTTTGTGCCCTGGACAACTCCACCAGCAAATGTACTCCTGTGAAGCACCTTGCTGTATCGAAGCCTCAAAAGCTCGCTCGGTCCCCTGCGCGGGTGATCTCTCCACATATCAAAGATGGAGAGAAGGACAAACAGAGGGAGAAGAACCATCAGAATGTTTCTCCAAGAGTGTATAAGTGGAGCTTCCAACTCAGTGAGTGCTGTACCTTCCCTGAAATGCTTAGGGTCTGAAGTGTTTTGGAGTTCAGATTTTGAGGGGATTTTGGAAAATTTCTATGCAAAATGAGTTATTTTGGAAACGGGACCCAAGTCTAAATGCACCTCTTTTTATTTCACCATTGTATATACAGGTTGAGCTTTCCATATCCAAAATGTTCAGTTTAGGAACACCAGAGATGTTCTATATTTCAACTTTTGGAATTCTTACACATATATAATGTGATCTTGGAGATGAGACCTATATCTATACATTTATGTTTCATATAAAGGCTATTTTAAGTGTATTTGTTGTATTTTAATCTGGTTTTTTTTACCACACTGTTAATATTTAAATGTTATTTAACTTTTCTATTGCGCTTTTTAAACTGTATTTAGTGTGGGATTGTTGGCTGCCTTGATTTCCCATGGGGAGAAAGGTGGAATATAAATAAAAATAATATTAAATAATAATACATGCATAGTCTGAGGGCAGTTTTAAGCGCAATTTTTAAACAATGTGTTAAGTTATGCAAATCACTAAAATATTCTTATATTGGTTTTCTATAAGGTAGTTTTTATTTCACAGAATATAAACACCATGAGTCACAGATTTTGCTTTGAAACATGTATGCCTTTGGAATATTTGATTGTCTGCTAAATACCTTGTTACTCAGTGGCACAGTATTACAATATTCATCACAATTTCACGTATAGACAGTTGCTTTCTCTACTTTTCTCCAATATTTACAATTTTTTTAATATTAATATTAATTTTAAAAAATATATATCATTTGATTTTTAAAGATGAATTGGACAACATGAACAGCACAGAGAGGATTTCCTTTCTGCAAGATAAACTGCAGGAAATCAGGAAGTATTACATGTCCCTGAAGTCTGAAGTTGCCACCATAGACAGGAGAAGAAAGCGATTGAAAAAGAAAGACCGAGAAGGTAAGTTGTATTGTGGTAAAAAGGCAAGATTGGCCATTTTAGAAATGTGGTATGCCAGCTCCTGATCTGGAACTTCTCCCTCATTGCGGAAGCTTTTATGCATTTTATACGGAATATTTTCCATGTCTTGCATATATCCATATTTAAGTCAACCTCACATAAACGTCAAGGGGCAAATATTTTGATATGCCTCATGGATAAGTTGAGGTAGGACTTGGAGACATGTAACAAAGAACGTAAAGGACAAAGCAAAGGAAAATGATACTAAAGAACTTAAAGCGGGCATGGAAAAACTTCAACTGGTAGGCTGTTAGGAATTGTGCGAATTGAAGTTGTTGGAAACCGCCTTGAGTCGCCAATTGGCTGAGAAAGGCGGTATACAAATACAGTAAGTAAGTAAATAAATAAATAAATAACCACCTGGAGGTCCAAAATTGGCCCAGGCCTGTTCTAGCCATTTACTTATTTATTTTATGGCGTCAGAAGTAAGTTGAGGGTACAGTCAAAATGTTTTTAAAACAAACAGAATTTTAAAACTTTGCATTGCGCTAAATGTCCTTTGACCAGTAGCTGGCCACTTGGAGTGCTTCTCGTGTCACTATGAGAAGGTCCTTCATTGTGCATGTGGCAGGGCTTAGGTTGCATTGTAATAGGTAGTCTGTGATTTGCTCTCCTCCACACTCGCATCTTGTGGTGCCAGAGCGCAGTCTATCAGCGCCTTCCAAGTCGCTCAGTCTTCTGGGTGCCCAGGAGGGAGTTTCTCATCTGGTATCAACCACAGGTTGAGGTTCCGGGTTTTAGCCTGCCACTTTTGGACTCTTGCTTGCTGAGGTGTTCCTGCGAAGAAGATCTTAGAAAGCTGTTTCTTGATTTAATGCTAAAACCTATTTCTTGATTTAATGCTGATATCCGAACAGAGGATGGGCTGGAGATGTCACTGTCTTGGTCCTTTCATTACTGGCTGCTACTTCCCAGCGGATGTCAGGTGGTGCAATAGTGGCTTAACAGTATCATTTATCCAGTGGTGTAGGGTGATATTATCCTGTGATAATGCGGCATGTCTCATTAAGAGCCACATATACTGTTTTAACATGGTGATATGTATTCCACACTGGGCATGCATATGATTTCTTTGTATACTGAATGTTGGCATTGAATTTTTGCCATTAGTATGTTGTAAGTCACATTGATTCCCCCCAGAGGTGAGAAAGGTGGTATATAAATACAGTAAATAAATAATAAATAAATATTCAGCAGCAGTGTAGCAAAGCTCCAGGGCAGATGTCTTCACTGTGTCTGGTTGTGATCCCCAGGTTGTGCCAGTCAGCTTTCGTATGATATTATTTCTAGCACCCACCTACCTTTTGTTTGATATTCAAGCAATACTTCTTATAAGTCAGAGCACAGTCCAGAGTGACTCCTGGGTATCTTGGTGTGTTGCAATACTCCAGTGGGATTTCTCCCCAGGTAATCCTCAGAGCTTGGGGTGCTTGTCTGTTCTTAATGTGAAAAGCACACATCTGCGTTTTAGATTGATTAGGAATTGGCTGGGTTTCACTGTAATAGGCAGTAAGAACACCTAGAGCTTCAGAGAGCTTCCGTTCAACCATTTCAAAGCTCCCTGCTTGAGTGGTGATGGCACGATCGTCAGCTTAGACGAATCTCTCTGTCCCTTCCGACAGTGGCTGGTCATTTGAGTAAATGTTAAACATTGATGAAGCAAGCACACTCTTCTGAGGCAGGCTGTTCTGTTTTCGCCATCTGCTTCTCTGGCACTGGAATCCAACAAAAAGCTCCTGTTTTGTAGCAGATTTCCTACGAAGCAGGTGAAGTGGTAGTCTTTTGTGACATCATACATTTTTCTGAGGAGAAGGTGATGATTTGCAGTATCATATGCTGCTGACAGGTCTATGAAGACAGCTCCTGTTCTATCTGTATTGTGGAAAGAACAATGCATTCATGGTTTAGGGGCTCACTGGAGGGGCTTTAGCGACTTTATTTATTTATTTATTTCTCACACTTCTACCCTGCCCTTCCCAACCCCCGAGGGGGGATTCAGGGCGGCTTACAAAAGGCAAAATTCGATGCCAGTACAACAGCAAGGTAAAAATAAAACATATATAAACAGCAATTAAAACAATTTAAACAATCCATTATACATCACAGTCCCTAAAAACCAATCTAATGCTCAACGTTTACCAGCTCAGAGTCTGTGAATTCAATTCCACATTGTCGAATCCATCAATTCTAGTCGTCACTTGTCCTTTGTCTATCTGCCAGATTCCCCGAAAGCCTGGTCCCACACCACGTTTTTAACTTCTTTCTGAAGGAAAAGAGGGATGTAGATAACCTAATTTTTCTGTGGAGCGAATTCCACAGATGTGGGGCCACCACCGAGAAGGCCCTGCTCCTCGTCCCCACCAACTTCACTTGTGATAGAGGTGGGGCCGAGAGCAGGGCCTCCCCAGAAGATCTTAAACTTCGAGGTGGGACGTAGAAGGAGATGCGTTCGGACAGATACGCTGGGCTGGAACCGTATAGGGTTTTGTAGGTCAAAACCAGCACTTTGAATTGTGCTCGGAATTGGATTGGCAGCCAGTGGAGCTGACATAACAGAGGGGTGGTATGCTCCCTGTATGACTCTCCGGTGAGTAATCTGGCTGCCGCCCGCTGGACTAATTGAAGTTTCTGAACAGTCTTCAAAGGCAACCCCACATAGAGTGTGTTGCAGTAATCTATTCGGGATGTAACAAGAGCGTGGACCACTTTGGCCAGATCAGACTTCCCAAAGTACGGGCACAACTGGCGCACAAGTTTTAATTGTGCAAAAGCTCTCCCGGCCACCGCCAAGACCTGGGGTTCCAGGCTTTAGGATAGTCGTCTGATATTTATGTTCAAGATATTATCAGAAAGTGACATAGCCTGTGGCTAACATCAAAGGGAGCGGCCAGCAGTCTTGTTGAATGGGGTGGGTAATCCTTTGCCCTGTCTTTCTTCCACAGTGTCCCACACTGGAGCTTCCATGTCTTCTGCCTCTTCGGACACCGGGATGAGCCCTTCGTCTTCCTCTCCTCCCCAGAACGTCCTTGCCGTTGAATGCAGGTGATACCGGTCTTCCCTGCCTTGTGCAGCGTGTGGCTGTCATGGACAGAAATCATGAAATACCATAGAAAAGCACTCAGCTGGTTTGACATTGCCAAGTATATTCTGTATACTCTTCCACTGCTGGACTGTGTCTGTCTCTCCTCCTCTCTGTGCCCCTCTGTTTTGTCATTGTAGAATTTTTTTTTAAAAAAAGAGAAACCTTTTATTATGGAGATGAATTAAGCTATTTGGCAATGGAAAGTGTATGGGTGCACTGAGACAGCTCTGTCTTTGTGCTTTTTAAGGTCCTCCCCCACTCTTGAAACCAGTAAAAGGGCACTTAGTATAATTTGGAAACACAAATATCCCATTTAGCATTTGGGTGTGTTTACGAGGAAGTTTGGACAAGAGCAAGCGAACCAAATTGACATCAGAATACGGCTCATCTGAAAATAGCTACTGCTGCACTTTCTTCACCAAGCTGTATCTTAATCCTGAGTGAGAGCCCCATTTTTTTCCAATTATTTTGTGTTTTTTTATTATTATTTTTGAAGAAGCACTTGCGATGCAGACCTGCCAAAGTATGTATTCAGCAACGTGCCCAGTTTTAAAATGGCATACATCGGACAAAATAAATTGTGAAAGGAAGTGTAGTTGACTGGAAACTACCATTGTAATGAGTCTTCCACTTTTTATAGGATTTTTTGAGCACATGATTATGCAAAATATTTTAATGTTTAATGTTTACAGTGGAATTGTGAATAGGTTTTCAGTGGACTATCTTATCCCTTGACAAATGTATTTTGTCTCTTTTTCTATGTAATTTCAGAGTTTTTATTTTGTTACAAAAAAGGCAAAAAAGTAAAATATATAGCAATGAAGTTATTTAACAAGATTTCTAAAGCGGAATTTTTTTGTGTAAAATAAGGTATCTTGCGACTTGTTAAATATATTTATTCAGACATTGGATGTTGTATTTTTATGTATTTTTTAAGAAAAAAACAAATAAAACCGGGAAGAAAAAGTCTGTTAGGTTCACTCTTTCAATAAAATATTACCTGCCACTTCAAAAACAAATCCATATATAGGTGGCTTTGTGTACTAGCCATACCTGTATATGAAGTGGTTTTGTCTGTTCAACTTTCCACAGTGTAAAACTGTATAATCTGGCATCTGGATTAAACTATAATCTGTCTTGAAAGCTTTGGCAGTCCTAGTACTTCTGTTGCTGTTAAGGAACACATTTCCTTGGCTCACCGTCACAGTGTTTTGCCTCATTTTTTTTTTCATTTGCTATGTCGCTGAAATAAATCTCACAACTACCAAAGTTGAGGTCTGTATCCGTCAAAGAATTAACATGACTGCTTTGGCTGTGGATTGTCCCACAGACCGAAAACAGTTTGTACATAACTATTCCCAAAACCATGTATTTAAGGAGGGTTGCGTATACATTGTGTATAAAACTATTTTTTTCCAGCCATATTTTTAAAACCCACCTTTGTACATTGAAAAGGGGTTTCCTACCTTTTCCTTGTTAATGTGCTTTAGAATGATAATAGAATGATCTAAGCGTGTCAGGATCCTGAAAACTCACAAAATCCTGACCCTCTCAACCGGGAGAGATTTCTTAAAGGGGCCGCGTCGCTGAAGCTTGATGTTTCCTGCCGTTTCCTTTTGACCACTCTGTCAGTTTGTGATTCCAATTCCTTCCATTTTTCAGAGAGAACTAAAGGAAAAAGTACTCTTGTAAAAAAATGCACTTTTCTGTCTTTTCTTAAGCAGAGCTATTTCGATGTATGATACAAATGGAGCTCCACAGAGAGCATCAATAAAGGTTATGTTTTTAAATATAGGGTTTTATTTTATTTAAAAATCATTTTTATAAACTTGCTGTCATGGCCAAACAGAAGGTACGACTTCACAATCTCTTATAGACACTTCAGAGCAAACCTGAGTGTATACTTAATAGAATAACTCTATTGTCATTAAGTTCTTGTGGGTTTTTTCGGGCTATATGACCATGTTCTAGAGGCATTTCTCCTGACGTTTCGCCTGCATCTATGGCAAGCATCCGCAGAGGTGAGGTCTGTTGGAACTGGGAAAAGGGTTTAAGATCTGAACAAGATCTGGCTACCAGTATTAAAAAATTCTAAAATTGCAACAGCAAAAACAGCAGAGAGGAAACAGGCAGGGACATCTAATTACCTTTCAAGAAGAGTTTGCTCCAGGCAGTCAGCCCATTGTATGCTAATCAAGGTGGTCAGTTGAAATATTCACACCTAGCCCAACTTACAAAAGCCCTTTGTCTCACCCTGGTCATTCCACAGATATATAAACCCTTTTTCCCAGTTCCAACAGACCTCACCTCTGAGGATGCTTGCCATAGATGCAGGCGAAACGTCAGGAGAAATGCCTCTAGAACATGGCCATATAGCCCGAAAAAACCCACAAGAACTTAGTAATTCCAGCCATGAAAGCCTTCGACAATCTATTGTCATTGTACATCGTACACCGAAATTAAATGCCATCCCCAATACACGTGTGACCCAGACACAGGTACCGGCTTATCTCTTTATTACAAGTGGACGTGAGAATGCTGTGTGAAAGTTTAGGGAGCATAAGCATGAGAATCATTCTACAAGCTGCAATGGCAGCCTCTTGTAATCACACCTTTGGCTGTATATGAATTACCGATGGGACCTTCAATCACATATAGTAAAGGTAAAGGTTTTCCCCTGACATTAAGTCCAGCCGTGTCTAACTCTGAGGGTTGGTGCTCGTCTCCATTTCTAAGCCGAAGAGCCGGTGTTGTCCGTAGACGCCTCCAAGGTCATGTGGCCGGTATGACTGAGGGAGCACCATTACCTTCCCACCAGACCATAGAATCATAGAATCAAAGAGTTGGAAGAGACCTCATGGGCCATCCAGTCCAACCCCCTGCCAAGAAGCAGGAATATTGCATTCAAAGCACCCCTGACAGATGGCCATCCAGCCTCTGTTTAAAAGCTTCCAAAGAAGGAGCCTCCACCACACTCCGGGGCAGAGAGTTCCACTGCTGAACGGCTCTCACAGTCAGGAAGTTCTTCCTTATGTTCAGATGGAATCTCCTTTCTTGTAGTTTGAAGCCATTGTAGTTTGGAGCAATATCTATTGATCTACTCACCTTTACATGGGTTGTTGTAGGCTTTTTTCGGGCTATATGGCCATGTTCTAGAGGCATTTTCTCCTGACGTTTCGCCTGCATCTATGGCAAGCATCCTCAGAGGTAGTGAGGTCTGAGAACCTCTGAGGATGCTTGCCATAGATACAGGCGAAACGTCAGGAGAGACTGCCTCTAGAACATGGCCATCCCAAACTGTGGCCCGAGGGCCGAATACAGCCCTCCAAGGTCATTTACCCGGCCCTCGCTCAGGGTCAACCTAAATCTGAAATGACTTGAAAGCACACAACAACAACAATAATCCTATATCATCAGCCAAAAGCAGGCCCACACCTCCCACTGAAATACTAATAAGTTTATATTTGTTAAAATTGTTCTTCATTTTAATTATTGTATTATTTTAAAGTGTTTTTTGCACTACAAATAAGATATGTGCACTGTGCATAGGAATTCATTAATTTTTTTTTCAAATTATAATCCGGCCCTCCAACAGTTTGAGGGACCGTGACCTGGCCCTCTGTTTAAAAAGTTTGGACCCCTGTTCTAGAGGCATTATCTCCTGACGTTTCGCCTGTATCTATGGCAAGCATCTCACAACCTCTGAGGATGCTTGCCATAGATGCAGGCGAAACGACAGGAGAGAATGCCACTAGAAGATGGCCACTAACACCCGAGGGCTGGATATGGCCCTCCAACATCTACCCAGCCTCGCTCAGGGTCAACCTAAGTCTGGATCGACTTGAAAGCACACAACAACAACAATCCTATCTCATCAGCCAAAAGCAGGCCCACACTTCCCATTGAAATACTAATAAGTTGATATTTGTTAAAATTGTTCTTCATTTTAATTATTGTATTGTTTTAAGTGTTTTTTGCACTACAAATAAGATATGTGCAGTGTGCATAGGAATTCATTCATGTTTGTTTTCAAATTATAATCTGGCCCTCCAACAGTTTGAGGGACTGTGACCTGGCCCTCTGTTTAAAAAGTTTAAGGACCCCTGCTCTAGAACATGGCCTTATAGCCTGAAAAAACCTACAACAACCCAGTGATTCCGGCCATGAAAGCCTTCGACACTACACATTTACATGTTTTCAAACTGCTAGGTTGGCAATAGCTGGGGCTAACAGTGGGAGCTCACTCCGCTCCCCGCATTCGAACCTGTGACGTTTCGATCAGCAAATTCAGCATCTCAGTGGTTTAATCCACTGCGCCACTGAGGGTTCCTTCAATCACATATACGAGGGTTGAATGAAAAGTAATGCCTCCACCTTCATTACTTGGGTTTGGATGGGAATATTTTAATGAATCAAACACAGAAATAATCCTTAGAATGTGCTCTTTTAACTACCACTATTCACTTTTCCACATAATCACCAGACAATTGGATACATCTCTGTCAACGATGAACAAGTTTTCTGAAGTCGTCATGGAAGAAGTAGACACTCTGTTTCCGCAACCAGCGTCTCACAGTTCTCTCAATGTCTTCATCAGAAGCATAATGATGTCCCCGCAGATCTTCTTTCATTATCGGAAACAGATGGAAGTCAGACGGTGCTAAATCTGGACTTTATGGAGGATGCTGTACGGTGGTGAGATCCAGTCTCTGAAGTTCTGCTGTCAACCTTTTGCTTGTGAAACTCGGTGGTTGCTGTCACAGCACATCCAACTCTTTGTTTGTCATGAAAGTCAGATGTTCCCACCTCAACATCTTTAAACTTACTCGCCCAACGATGCACAGTACTCACATCAACACAATCTCCATAAACAGCTTGCATTCTCTGATGTATCTCCTTTGGGGTGACACCTTCTGCTGTCAAGAATTCAATTTATTTTTTATTTAGTTCATTTATATACCGCTTTTCTCAGCCCTTGGGCGACTGCATGTTGCTTAAATCGCATTGACTGACCATCTGTGCAGGATTCCATACTTTAACAACACAACTGTTCAATGCTAAGGCTTCCCGCCAAAATGGAACTGTAGAGGAGAGTCTACTGAACAAGCCAGTACCTGCTGCATACCAGTACTGCCATCTGTTGAGGAGTTACGAAAGGTGGAGGCATTACTTCTCATTCATCCCTCGTAGCATGTATAAAATCTTATAAAACTACGTCTCCTTCATTACAAATCATGATGTCCTAGAATCAAAGAAAGCTATATAAATAAAAATGTAATGTTAATTTGCGGGATTGTTGTTGTTCATTCGTTCAGTCATCTCCGACTCTTCGTGACCTCATGGACAAGCCCACGCCAGAGCTCCCTGTCGGCCGTTACCACCCCCAGCTCCTTCAAGGTCAGTCCAGTCACTTCAAGGATGCCATCCATCCATCTTGCCCTTGGTCGGCCCCTCTTCCTTTTTTGTGGGATTAACATAACTCAAAAACCACTGGACGAATTGACACCAAATTTGGACACAATATACCTCTCAGACCAATGAGTAACCATCTATATAAATAAAAACGTAATTTTCTTTTGTGGGATTAACATAACTCAAAAACCCTGGAGGGAGGGCCCAAGTTGGCCCAGGGTTGCTGTGTGTACGTTGCTGTGAGGCCTACGAGGCCTAGCACACCCTGGAAGCCTGGGTGTGGAGTATGGGGTGCGGCCGGGTGGGGCTGTGGCTGCTGCTGGGCGCCTGCGGCCTGGCCTTCCTGGCCTACTGCCTCTACTTTGACCGGAAGAGGCGAGGCCGGCCTGACTTCAGGCGCAGGCTCCGCGAAAGTGAGGAAGATGGAAGAGGAGGAGAATGCCTCCTCAGGCGCCAGAGAGAGATTAGATAGATAGATAGATAGATAGATAGATAGATAGATAGATAGATAGATAGATGATAAATAAGAGAAATTGATAGAAAGAGAAGGAAGGAGTGGGATAGAGAGATAAATTGATAGATAGATAGATAGATAGATAGATAGATAGATAGATAGATAGATAGATAGATAGATGAGAGAACTAAATAAATTAAATGGATGGATAAATAAATAAATAGACACACAGAGAGAGAATGCTAGAGAAAGAAGGAAAGGGAGATAAATAAACGGA